GGTCTGGGATTTTGCGGAGGGAGGGGGCTCCTCAGGGCATGGAGTGAGCCCTGCTGTGCCCCCCCCCCCAGGGAAGCACTACGGGGTGTACAGCTGCGAGGGCTGCAAGGGCTTCTTCAAGCGCACCATCCGGAAGGACCTCACCTACACCTGTCGCGACAACAAGGACTGCATCGTCGACAAGCGCCAGCGCAACCGCTGCCAGTACTGCCGCTACCAGAAGTGCCTGGCCACCGGCATGAAGCGCGAAGGTAGCGCAGGGGGGGTGGCTGGCAAGAGGGCCTCCCAGGTATCCTCTCAGGAGAGGGAGGGAGGGGCTGCCTCCCGGCCCTTTGCCCCCCACCAACGCTTGCGCCCCCCCCTCTTTTGCCTCCGCCGCGGTGCAGCCGTGCAGGAGGAGCGCCAGCGGGGGAAGGAGAAGGACGGGGAGGGGGAGCTGGCCGGCACCGGGGCCAACGAGGACATGCCGGTGGAGAAGATCCTGGAGGCCGAGCTGGCCGTCGAGCAGAAGTCGGACCAAGGCGTCGACGGAGCCGGCACGGGGGGCAGCTCGGTGAGTTGGGGAAGGGGAGCAGCGGGATCAGAGCGGTCCCTCCACCACCCCACCGACACAGACGAGGTAAGGGGGCTGGGTGGGGTGGAGGAGGGGGCCGGGCGGGGGGGGGGAAGGAGGGTGGAGGGGGAGCTGCCGGGGAATGGCTCTGCCTGGCTTGGGGGGGGTGTCCCAGTGCTGGCTCAAGTGTCCCTCGTCCCACCCTCTGCCTGCCTGTCGCCCCCCCCTCCTCTTCTCCTGCAGCCCAACGACCCGGTGACCAACATCTGCCAGGCGGCAGACAAACAGCTCTTCACCCTGGTGGAGTGGGCCAAGCGCATCCCCCACTTCTCGGAGCTGCCCCTGGACGACCAGGTCATCCTGCTCCGGGCCGGTGAGTCAGCCTGGGGCCCGGCCTGGACGTTGGCCTTCGGGATCCCGGATACGTATGAGACCCTGGTCTCACGGCAGCCTCTCCCTCTCTCTCTCTCCCTCCCCCCACGGCAGGCTGGAATGAGCTTCTGATCGCCTCTTTCTCCCACCGGTCCATTTCGGTGAAGGACGGGATCCTGCTGGCCACCGGGCTGCACGTCCACCGCAACAGCGCCCACAGTGCCGGCGTGGGGGCCATCTTCGACAGGTGAGGGGCGGGGGAGGGCGGCTGGGGACCAGAGAGCCCAGTTGCAGACGGGTGAAAGGGACGGCCTTCGGTGGGGGCTCCCCCTGCCTCTCCACCCGGCAGCCGAGGTCCCCCCACCAAGGCCAGCCGGCTCTTCTGCCCCCCCCTTCCCCCCAGGGTGCTGACCGAGCTGGTGTCCAAGATGCGCGACATGCGGATGGACAAGACGGAGCTGGGCTGCCTGCGCGCCATCATCCTCTTCAACCCAGGTGCGCCTTTCTCCCCCCAGGAGCATCGCTGTCCCGTCCCCCACACCTCCTGGGCGTTCCTTCTGGTTCGGACTGGTTTGGCTGAACCGGTAGTGGAACCAGCGGTGACCCAGGGCTGCCGCGCCCCCAAACCGGTTCCCCGGTCTCTCCTCCCATTTCTGGCATGTTCCTGCACATGCGCTAAACGCCCTCGCAGCGAAGGTAAAGCCGTTAGGGACCCACCAATGGTGTGACCTCCCCCCCCTCTGGTCTTCCTCTCTTCTTCCGCCAGATGCCAAGGGTCTCTCGAACCCCGGGGAGGTGGAGCTGCTGCGCGAGAAGGTCTATGCCTCGCTGGAGTCCTACTGCAAGCAGAAGTACCCGGATCAGCAGGGGAGGTCGGTAGGGCTGGCGGGGAGGGGAGCTGGGCGGGAGACCCTTCCCATGGGGCCAAGCCCATTGTGGGGGAGGGGCTTTGGCTGTGTTAGGCGCAACGGAGTCTTTCCCCCCCCTTCCCCTTCTCTGGCTGCCTAGGCTCTCTCATTGGGGGGGGGGGATGGAGGGACCCCGGGCCCTTCAAAGCCCTCCTGGGGGAGCCCCCTCCTCCCCACCGAGGGCCTGACCTCCCCCCTGCCGCCCCCCCTCCCCAGGTTTGCCAAGCTGCTGCTGCGCCTGCCCGCCCTGCGGTCCATCGGCCTGAAGTGCCTGGAGCACCTCTTCTTCTTCAAGCTGATCGGGGACACCCCCATCGACACCTTCCTGATGGAGATGCTGGAAGCCCCCCACCAGATGTCCTGACCCCTCACCCCCCCACGGACCGGAGGGTTGCTGCCAAGACCGCCGGGGAACTCACACGCCCCCTCCCCCCGGGGGGGGGCTCTGCATTGGGGCAGGCGGCTGGACTTCCCAGCCACGGTGGGGTGGCCGCTAGCCCCCTCCCCACCTTTGCATAAATCCCGGGGGTCCCCCTCAGCCAGCCTCTGAGTGCTGGGGTGGGGGTCCCTCACCTGGGAAAGGGGCTCCCGTAACGCTGCTCCCCCCCCCCAATCGGCTTGTGTGGGAAGCCCCCTGGGCTGAGGATGGGACGTTTCCCGGGCTCCTGGGGGGGGGGGAGGTAGGCTCCTCCCCCCCCTCCATTGCAGCTTGGGAAAGTGGCCCCCCCCTCCTGCTGCCTTGCCACCCCCACCCCGAAGCC